TAGTTTCACCCGGAATAAAAATGCCTCAATAACAGCTGAGTAATAGCAGTCGCATTAATAACCGACATAATAATCAGGATTGCGATACCCTGTCATTACATGTATATATATACATATATTTATACTTTCACTTTGCTTCTTAAAATGATTCAATGTCACTATGTGAACTATTACGTACATCGACGAGCAACTGTTAACTTAAATGTCTAACTAAAAGTCGAGAAATATCACTGGAATATATCAGGAATGAGATAGAATTGTAGTCGTGTCTCGTTTGCGACTGAAAAACTCTGTCGCGAAAACTCGTTAGCAAGTAATCTCTTACGAAATGCTACTAGAATTTTATAATATATTCCATTTTGCAAATTTTCAAGCGATAATACGACTTGTTTCGCCTTAAATCATTTTAATTTTCTCAGAGAACTTATCTCTTATAACTTAACTCTTATAACTTAACTCTCTCGAATCCGCTACAATCTCTCGCTACTTTTCTCCATCCTTCGTATCGAGGATACGTCGGTTTGCACGATATCCTAGATGTGATAATTCGATTCACTTCCGCATTCGCTTAACATATTTTAAATAAATTTCTCGCCTGTTATTCTCATTAATACAAGAGAGAAATGATTTTTTAATATTATATCTTGTAGAAAAAAAAAGAATTCTAACGTGTTAAGGAGTGTAACGACAATTAATCACATTAATGGAATGTAACGCGCTAATTACGGAGGTGAATGCATTAATTACACGTAATATAAAAATAGAAGAAGCGCGGCGCGAACGTTCCCTTTCCGGTTGCAAAACGTAATTTTGCCTCGGTAATTTCGCGTAAAAATCACGCGCTAAAATTATACGGTGAAATTTGTCCGTCGAAATCTCCAGTGTCTTTCAACTCACTCATATGTGCACCTTCGATTTCCGTCTGAATGCCGTTCGGCGATCAAAAAGTATGTCGCAACCTAAATAATACAGAAAACAGCCAGATTTTTTTCCACCGGGTTTTGTTATCTTAAATATATTATATATATTTTATAATATTATATATTATTTTATATTATTTTATATATTTTATATAAATTTCCATATACCTTATTATATATATTTTTTCTACTGAATTTTATCTCATATATATTCGATTTTGCGCAAATAATTTACATTTTGCGTCAACATTCAATTTTAATTCTTTCGACTAATGTATATCGAATCTTGCCATGGATATCTAGAATATCTAAGCTCATTTTTTATATTGAAAATGATCGTCGATAAATCTGGTTTAGCCAGTTTTTCAGAGAAGAGTGAAAATTTCCATAATTGTCGGCTCGTCACAACCTAAATAATACAGAAAACAGCCAGATTTTTTCCGGGCTTTCTTATCTTAAATATATATATTTTATTCCATATACTTTATGATATATATTTTTTTATAAATATATACATTTTATTCCATATTTTTTATTATATATATTTTTTCCACCGGATTTTATTATCTCAAATATATTCGATTTTGCACAAACAATTTGCATTTTGCGTCAACATGCAATTTTAATTCTTTTGACTAATGCATCTCGAATCTTGCCATGATATCTAGAATATCTAAGCTCATTTTTGAGATTGAAAACGATCGTCGATAAATCCGGTTTAGCCAGTTTTTCAGAGAAGAGTGAAACTTTCCATAATTGTCGGTTCGATAATCATCGATGATTAGGAGATGCGATGAAGGAAAAAAATCACATGTGACGACGCGAAATGAGTTGCAATTTCCTCCACGGATTTAGTTTGCATTGAGGACGAAAATAAATTCGTAATTAGCCTTGCGCTAATATTTACGACCATCGTTTTCTGACGACGCGGCGTCGGAGGAAAGTAAAAAGCCAGCAGAATCGACAATCAGGTCAGGGTCCCTTTATTAGTTGTTTTTCGACGTGTCACGCGTCGTTGGGCGCCGTCCCGCCAATCTTCGATCGAAGACATCTGTTTGAAGGCCTTGGAGGCATCCGGCGGATCCTTCGTGATCCACCCTTTCCTTCTGGAAGAAGACTATCGTTTATAGAGACATTAGGGTCGCGGATATCAATTGTTATTAACGTCCTAGATGCATCTTGATGCCTCGATTAACTTGATTCCTGCTTTCACATTATTATGTGCTTTGGATTTTATATTTGAATACGAATGGTTGGCATATTAGCATAACGTTTTATGCGGATCCTTAAGAGAGAGAGCTGTATATATAATTTTAATAAATTATATATTTTGTATATTTCATGTTATTTTATTTTAATATGATACACTATAATTTTATTATATAATATATTATATAATTTGACATATAAATAATTAACATAATAAAACATTTAATATATTAAATATTTATTTTATACTTATATTAATATTTAAATACAATATATATTTTATTATTATTATATTATTGTTATAAATTGCAAAGATATTTGTCCTGAAATTTTATTGTAAGACTGACGCTTTATTACGGTAGACGGAAATTTTATTTGCCAGTAAAATCATTAATATAGAGGATAATTAATCGAATGCAAAATAACGCGATGCTTGAAAGGCAAGATTTGTGTCACGTTTGTCCCGCTTTTATACGGAACCTCAAAGTGTCTGTTCGTATGATATGATAATTCTGTGTGCATCATTGCTAGCAGACGCTTTCGCAAGATTGCGCAGAACTATTAAGATCGAACGTCCACAACCGATGGCCGACGATGCGATGGGTTGATTGACCGATCGCGAAACTAGGCTTCGCCAGCGATGTAGTATCTCTCATTCGATGTCTCATCGCGCTTTTCCCGGCAGACTTACAATCGAGGATCGTTTCCGGTTCGTTAAATCGCCCGGAAGAATGCGAGAGTTTCCGCGAAATCGGCATCCTCTCCACAATCGATTCTCCCTCGTGGCCCGATTCTCACTCGTAAATCGCATCGTTTGCTCGTAAAAAAGCGATCATGCATTATTCGCGCGATTATTCATTTTTCTTTTCGCGTTACAATAATGATGTCGGCGATCGATGAATAGGACGGACCGAGGGCGGGATCGGATTAGAACCGGATGCTCTAGAGAAAGTATAAACGATTGGTCATCGGAATGAATGAATAGCTTTGCTTCTCAACAACAACTTGAAGTGAAAGGAAATGAAGTAGGCAAGAGCGAAATTATGATTAAAAAATCCAATTTGCTTCATATTTTAATTCCATTCAGCTATTGTTCCGACACTGACTCAAGCCGAGAACAGGCAAAAAGTCCTTATCCAAGGGCATCAATGAATCACGTATCGATTATTAACGCCATAGTTGTTCACATTGAAAGTCGATTGTGAAACAGGTGATATTTCAAGAATGTTTCTCTGGTGGCAATCTTTCGTTTCGTTATTTTCTCTATTTTTTTCAGCTACAATTAACTCCTCAGGCGGTATTTATGTTCACAAATAATCAGCGGATAATTGTAGATATAATTACTCTAGTTGAAACATTTAGTTACACCAACAACAATTATGCTCAATCTTTCGTCATTTTGTATACCTCTTATTTTCTTAAGGATCTGATGCGTGAGTCTGAGATCTAATTGCGTGTGCGTAAGTTCATCGCCAATTGGCAAGAAGCTGTACCGTTAGATATGATATACGCACGCTTATAATTCCGCTCGTGCCGCACGGTTTGTCAAGATGAGAACAACAACGGACAAGGTGCATTTGCTTTGCTAATTTATACATCTAGATAAATGGTCGCCGCCAATCTCGGCTCGAAAGTAAAAGCGTGGCGAAGCGCGCGAACCAAATTACGCAAACGCGAATCGTGAAACGATTCCTGAAGACGTTGGAAAAAGAATAAAAATGCGGCAGCTTTTTATTTTGCATCGTTCAGGTGCGTCCAGGTAACTCCCGACTGTTGTTTGACTTTTCGAAACAAAATTATTATTCTTATCGTGACACATGGAAAATGATAACATAGGAAATTATTTCAGCGAGAATCTTTTTTAATCTATTTTAAATAACAAAGATTAGCTTAAATCGATCGATTTATCTTCATTTTATCCATTTTCTTCGTTGATAATAAACGAAGAATTTGACGAAGAGAAAACTACTAAATTATTATTTCGATTTACGATTCAGGGTTGATGATTATTTCATGAATATTGAAATTAACTTGCTATGCAGAATCCGGCGAGAAATTTACTTGGAGCCTAACTTTCCAACATTTTTTAATTTTTCGCTTTTCATTCGATTCGCTGCGTGCATATAACATGCGAGCTGGTTTTGTCGGCTTTGGAAGCAATAAACTGTCTCGCAACAAGATGAAGAGCTCATCTTTTCATCTTGAAACGGAGCGTGAAAGTGAAATTTCTTGATACATAAAACATATCTCCATATAAAGCTTATTAATTTGAAAGAAAAATTAACGGTGGCAAAGAAGTATAAATGAAAGCATGCCAGCTATTATAAAGCTATTAAAGCGAGTGTAATTAATACTTCTCAAAAAAAAGAGGAAAAAAAGGATACGAAATTGCTGTAAAATCGAATCGTTACTTAAACAATCTTTATTTGTTTTACGATTAGATGAACATTTTATTAATTTGAAGATTACTCTCTCTTCGCAATTAAAACACGATCATATTGTGCTCTGCCATCGTATAATTTTACCACCATTTTTTCAATTGAATGGGAAATAATTGAGCGAGCGTGTGAGTATCAAATGCAGTGATATTGTCTGAATTACGTTCGTCTCATCGCAGCCGGATGTAGAAACGTATCCGGAACTTGCAGCGATACTTCTTGTCCCTTCCGCAAGTGTAATAGCAGTTGCTGGTTTGCCAATATAAGCATTCATTAGAAGATATCTCGTTAAAACCCAGCAACCGCGCCTTTTCCGCGTGTATTTTTTTTCTCGTAACGACGAGCGTATTATTAGTTGCGCGTGCTCGCTCGCGCGATGATAATCACGTATTAATGCGAGATCGAGTAACGATCGTGCGTACCGTTTCTGCAGCAGGAACCAAGACCGGAACTCGACACCAGCAACGGAAGCAGCAACGGCGGCGGCAGGCCTCGATTCGTTCCCGTCACTGCTCTGGAGGATGTGCAGGCGGTAAGATGTGCCGAATTCCACCCCCACGGGAAACTCTACGCCGTGGGATCAAATTCGAAGACGCTACGGATATGCGCCTACCCGAAGCTGCACGATGTCAGGTGGGACTAATATCATTTACATATCTAATCGTGATATTCGAAGAGAATTTTTATAAGAAAGATATCAAAATTGCGACATAAGAATTTAAACCGATATACATTTATTTCTCGAAATTTAAACGCTATGATTTATCAGAATTGATACAAATTTAATTTCTCTCATCCATTTATTTATCAGAAGTGCATAGTTTGTTGATAGGTTTTCGTTTGTAAATTAAATCTTTTTCATTTTTCAAAAATAGTATATTGATTTAAAAATTTTGATCGATTTTAATCTCTTTTTAGGAGAAAATAGTCTTCTTCAAGCAATTAGTCAGTTAGTTAATTTCTTGAATTTTTCTTTGTTTTCAAAAGAAATCATTTTCTTCTAAAAAGAGATCAAATCTAATATTATCAAAATTAATATTATCAAAACGGATGTAATTTGACAATTTCTAAAAAATATTTTTGTGAATATATAAATTTTTAAATTGTTAAATTGTTTTAAATTTTAAATTGTAACATTCATTTAGAATACAAAATATTATATCGTAGTTTTGTGATATCTTTCTTCTAAACATACAAAAATATTTCAGATATGAATTATAAATCTTTTGGAGACAATTTGCCCTCAATTAAATTTTTATCATTATTTAGAACCCATGAAATGCTATAAATTATATATTAATTTTACTTGTAGCATGTGCGACAATTTTTTTTACTATTTGTATAGGATTTTACTTAAAAATTTTATATTTTCACGAATTTCCCGCTGATCAAATATTTCATAAATAAATAAAGCGGTTTTACGATCACTATTTAATACGTCAATATAAAATTCGTAATATCAATATTGAACTTCCTACAAAGAACGTTTTATATCGAAATCGGCGGAAATCCGATAACAGGTGAAATCTGGTTTTGCGTTAAAAAAAAATTGAAATGAATTATGATTGTGAACTGCGAATGGAAAAAACGCGATATTTGTCGCGATATTTCCCGCTGATCAAATATTTCATAAATAAATAAAGCGGTTTTAAGATCACTATTTAATACGTCAATATAAAATTCGTAATATCAATATTGAACTTCCTACAAAGAACGTTTTATATCGAAATCGGCAGAAATCCGATAACAGGTGAAATCTGGTTTTGCGTTAAAAAAATTGAAATGAATTATGATTGTGAACTGCGAATGGAAAAAACGCGATATTTGTCTTCTCTTTTTGATGCAGAATCGAATAAAACGATATTTCGATGTTGCATGTAAAATATTTCGAGATTGCATGTCAATAGTTAATGATAGCCTTTAATTCGCGTTTCCCGACAAATTTCATTATGTGGTTATTACTATATCACTATCGTGGTCTTACGCAAATTTAATAAATGAGTCGCGTTATTCGCTTATTGAAAAATAGAGATATATTACAGTTCTCGTTATCGAGTTGGGAGAGAAATCGGATGGATTTATATTCACGCTTCCGCGAAAAGCAGGAGAGAGTCGTGATACATTTAGTGGCGCCGAGGCGAAAATAACCATAAATTATAATATATAATAAGTCGACTGAAGGTCGATTCGATCGTCATTCAAAATAGTCTGAGAAAATTATCGATGACAAAATAATTTCGCGTTTTGTGAGAGGAGCTTGAGGAACCAATCAATCTGGCTTAGCCAAGCTTTAGGTGCCGTTTTTATTTCGCGCGAATATCTTTTGGATCCTCGATGTAAGCATCTAGCGAAAAATAGATTATATACGAAACGCGAGAGAGAGAAATCACGACTCTTACAGCGGAACGCGTTACGCTATTCAATAAGCTCGAGTTTATCTATCATCTCGATGATATCAACGCAACTTTGCTGCTCGGAGTAATTAGAACAGAGATTGTAAATAATCCGTTCTTCTACGTTGCTTTCTTTAACGCGAACTATGTAATTTGAGAGGTGAATATTATGGTTTTAATAACGTTTAATAATATATTTAGATATAATAATACACACGTGTTCGGAGAAGATACTTTCGTTAAGGCTATGCTGAGTGGCTTTTGAATTTACATTGGTGGGGAACAGGATTAATGGAGACTTCACCGATGTAAAAGCGTTTTTCCAAATGAGATTTATAATTTCAGTTATTTACATAACAAGTCTTATCGAATAAATCAAGAAATATGATCAATGGTATTTTAATTTTTCAAAAAATAATTAAAAGTCAACAAGAAACGAAATATCATTAATTGCGAGTTATTTGAAAAATCTGAAGTTATTGAAGAGGTTTGAAGGGAAAATAAACTAAAAATTACTTCAGAAAATTTTTGAGAATAATCTCAATCGTTTGAGCTATTTTAATTGACGAGACTTTGTTATCAAAAATCTCGCGCGTGACAAAAAAGACTTTGTCGTCAAATTTGAGAGAGATCATGTTGAGGAAGTTTGTATGTGTTTGCTAAACTAATTTTACGCGAACATGCCAGTCTAATGAGAGGCAGAGACCTTTATGCCAAACGGAGCATTCCTACAGCGAAACAAAATATGAGAATTACCGGTACATTTTTTTCTAACGGCGTTTCCGCGATGCATCATATTTTCCCATATATCGTCCGCGATTTACAATATTTTATTTTTTATGTCGTATTTCTAGAGCAATTCTTCAATAATAATCTTTACGTACGGTTTTCAGACTTGATTACTAATTTTCAGAACAGTCTAAAAAATTCTAGGATTAACGAAATTTTTATCGCACGGTTCAACGACATATAATTCGCAATAATGAAGATATTCATGAAATATAAAAAGCAATTAGCTACTTTATAGCAACAACACGAGTGAAGAATATAAAGTAATCGAAAGCGTGAATAAATAATGAAGTAGCAAAATTTTAAAAATAATAAAAATTTTATTCATGAATAATGTACGAACTGTATTTTTATTTTTCGGAGATTACATTATTTTAATTCAAGATTTATTACGCCAGCTTTGCATTGCATGGTGGACGGATAATAAACAGTACCCTTTCACTCGCAGAATTGCGTCTAGAATTCACGGCAATGCTCGTTTGACGGTAACATTATAGCGTTCCGGCAAACTCAGCGAGCTGTAATTTGTATCCAAAGTCAATAACGCGCACAGCAATTTCCATTTGTATCCGTTTGTGATATAATAATATCCTGATGCTACATTTGCGATGTTGCTTCATTCGCGCGAAACGACTCTCTCGTTGTCGGCATCTCGAGAAAGTTCGAACTACAAGAGAGAACTTATATTCGAATTAATAGAAGGTGTAAAGCGCGTGATGAACTCGTGTCTTATTGCGTAATTATTGCGCATCTTCGAAATTACTATTTAGATAATTACTTTATAAACAATCACCGAACACAGGGATTATTTTCGCGCAAGTTTATTTTAGACCGCAATAATAAAGCTTAAACAGCTTGGTAAAATTCATTTACATACTGTGGTAATTATAAGTGGCAATTAAATATAACAGCTAATTATTTACATTTATATGGCTATTTATATTTAATTATTAATTATTTATGGGAGAAATAATTAATAATTAATTCATTAATAATTAATTATTAATTAAACGAAATTATTGGGCCCCAAGAAATCGTTCCTCATATCATGACACCTTTGTATTGCGAAAGGTGCAAAATCAGCATTAATATTTTGTAAACAGTGTTACTTACTTGAAACTGATTATTAAGCGATTCCGTGTATGATTGTTTTACTTATATCTATCTTAATTGGAATCCCACTGCTCGATTAAATTGAGATATCGCGAACTTAATGATTTTTACGTCACAGTGCAAGATCCGATAAAAATCTGTTATTTCGTTACATCTATTGCACATCAAAGTAATACTCGGCGATATATATGTCAATAGTGTACTATTGACACTGTGTGGAAAAGATATTTATTTAACTACGGATAAAGTAGAACGGATACATGGATCGCTCATTAAATACTTTAGCTTATGAGTTATAGAGAAACAGAAGCATTGAAAGATATAAGAACTAATAATGATAGTCGTTAGTGCAGTTGTCCGGTAATTAGGTGCGTACATAACAAATATATACGTGACACATCACTTGATGGATAAGCGAGAGTGCATCTCTGTATCTATCACTTGAAACATAAGCACGAAAATTTTCTATATCTTATTGACACGTTAATTTTTTTCGCCCAACTTTCACGTCAACTTTCAAAATATGAAGAATTATTTAGCTGTCTCGAGTATTATAGACAAGTGCTCCAGCGTAAAATTTCTACTTGATGATAAAGTAGCTTGCGGCATCGTTCGAAATTTGATAGTCATCTCTCTTGATTTTTAAACGAGGTACAGAATGCCTCAAAAGTGAATCAGCGACGAGAAATTTAAGTTGAATTTTCGAGTTTTTTTATAATTAAGTAGCATTTTATAATTAGTATAATAATGTATAATTAATTAATGAATTTATAATTTTTTAATAAAATAATTTTTTAATCAGATTATTATTTTATAATTATAAAAATAAAGATAGAATATGTGTACGTTTATGTGTACTTTAAATCGTATGAATCTAATTATTTTCTAAAATTGTATTTTTAATTGATTAAAATAATTATTTTAATCTATTATAATAAAATATATAATAAAATAATTATTTTAATCATTTAATGAAATAATTATTTCAATCAATTAAAAATATGATTTTAGAAAATTATTAGATTTATATGATTTGAAATACACATTTTTTTTATAAATATCAACAAGAAATTTCCGATATCAATTGATCGTGTTCCTTGAATGTATGACATAAATTATTTATTCCATTATTCTTGTCACTTAATACGGGTATCTTCAACTATGTTGTCATTGTTCGCGGAGAAACTGCTTTTGCGAATAATTGTATCGTCACTTTCGAAAGTCGTTCTCCTCCGTCGCTCACTGGAAATTGCGACAAACGGGAGTGACGTTAATTTCGCGCATCATATTCGAGCCGAATAGATTCAAGGGTGTAAATAATAATTAGCAACAGGGAGAAGATTTTTACAGGGGAACGTCTCTTTCTCCATTTCTTCCTCTCTCTTTCGATCGGCAGACGCAGGAGAGACGAGATACCGCGATCTCACGTGCATCAGCCTCGCGCAATGAGAAAAAACCGTACTTAATTAAAATCTGCGTAAGAAAAAAAAAACCGGCGCCGTGAAAGCGGCAGTGCGTCTGTCTTTAAAATCGTCGAACCTCTCCCTCGTTTCCACGGCCGACAATATATGCCGCGATATCGACTTCAATTAGAGGTGACGCGGCTGATGAGGGCTGGGAACGAGGAGGAAAAAACGGCTCGATGAAAGTGATGCCTGCGCGAGAACTCGAGCATTCTTTCTTCTTTCGGATCGGATAGATTGATGACTCGGATGGAATAGAATATATCTCCCTTTCATACGAATGATTTATATCGACGAAATGCGCTTGCTACTTATCCATTCCGCCTGCTAATCACGATGACATTAAGAGTAATGGTATCGCGTCTTGTTTCTTCAAGGGAGGATCATCAGACGTATCAACCCACTGTTCTCTTCAAGAGAACGAAGCATCACAAGGGTTCCATTTATTGCCTTGCGTGGACACCGGATGGTCGATTGATGGCAACCGGAAGCAACGACAAGACCGTAAAATTGATGCGTTTCAACGCTGATACTTCGAATCTAGAAGGTATAATTTTGCAGAAACAAGAAATGTATGATAAATTTATTCGCACATCTTAAAAATTTTAATTAAAACTGATCCTACAAATTATGACCTCAGTTCATTCTTATTTCATGTTCTATGTATATTGGGATGTATATTAATTATTTTTTTTTGTATTTTTTGAAAATAATTTATTCCTTAAATTTATGGGAAAGATAAAAATTATTAGCAGTTTACTTTTACTGCAATATTTTTATTTTCGAGCATATCCAAATGATTAATATAAAGAATTAAAATCCTTTTTTATCTCGCAAAATAAATTGATGGTCAATAAATTGTTTAATTTTTAGGACAAGAGGTCGAATTAACTATGCACGATGGTACAGTGCGCGATCTGTGCTTCCTGGAGGACACGTCAAACAAATCGAGTCTTCTGATCAGCGGTGGTGCGGGCGATTGTAAGATTTACGTTACCGATTGCACGACTGGTACACCTTTCCAAGCCTTAAGCGGCCACAGCGGTCATGTGCTAACACTTTACAACTGGGGCGGAGCGATGTTCGTCAGCGGATCGCAAGATAAAACAGTCAGATTCTGGGACTTGAGAACAAGAGGCTGCGTTAATATGGTTACACCTGCGACGGTACCTGGCAGTCGGGTTGGTTGGCTTCCTCATTGATATTTTAATTTTTTACTGAACTAGCGGAGAATAGAATATTTTTTAGTAAAAAGAAATTAAAAAGAGAAGTAAAATTTTATAAATTTGTCAATTATATTAAAAACATTGTTTCTATTTTCCGTTTTCACAATTAATACTCTATCAATTTCATCATCTAGAAAAATTAGAATAGACTAGATAAGAAATGTTCCTATCATTTAAAATCCGTCGCACCAACATTTTCTGTTTTGTACTAGTATCGTATTAAGTTTTATGTCCGATAAATATCCGATTTATAGTTTTAAATCGCACTATCATCTCTTCCAATTGCAGAACATTGGTCACCTTTTTGATCGGATTTTTATCGGACATTTTAACAGTACTGGGAATGGAAGCAGTATTGTTTGTTTGATCAGCATTTGATTCCATTGCAGGTCGGCAGCCCCGTAGCCGCGCTATGCGTGGATCCGTCTGGTCGGCTTTTGGTGTCCGGCCACGAGGACAGCAGTTGCGTTCTCTTTGATATTCGCGGTGGCAGGACGGTGCAGTGTTTCAAACCTCACGCAGCAGATATCAGGAGCATAAGATTCTCACCGTCAGCGTATTACTTATTGACGGCGGGATACGACAACAAACTGGTACTCACAGATTTGCAAGGTGGGTCTCTCATTGAATCGTTTTTTACAGTGGCTGAAATAATCCAACAGCAATAGTAATAATGTAAGAATCATACTAAAATTAACATAAGCACAATAAAATATTGCAGGTGATCTTACGATGCCTCTACCTAGCGTTGTAGTAGCCCAACATCAGGATAAAGTCATCTCAGGACGTTGGCATCCGACGGAATTTTCGTTCCTCAGCACTTCCGCTGATAAAACCGCAACCCTTTGGGCCTTACCGCCTGTTTAAAAATCCAGTATGGTAACGCGCGCATTGTTATTTATTTATTTCATCGCTTTTTCAAGAGAATATTTTGGTACAATACGATTCATTGTCAACTGCGTTATCTGGATATATTGATTTATATTGAGTCGATCGCATAAAAAGATCCATGTTTTATTTTCAAATTCTTCGACGGACATTTACTATAAAATGAACACTTTTACATAAAATGAACAATTTTAAGCGATATCAATATTCTAACAAATTTGTGTAATAGCACACAATTTAACCATGACCACAATTAAAACTTCTTTAATTTATATGACAGTATCGCTAACACGCAACGAAATATTGCGATGGTTAAGAATTTAATTAAAACCTAAACGTTGAAGACTCTATTTAAAAAAGGGACAAAAACATGTTGATCGGACACGTTATCGTACAAACATCGATAAGATTGATTTTATAATTACGAATTTGATACCGGGAGTCACAAGACTGCGGATGAATAATCGCCTCGATTCGAATAATCGCTTCGATTTATAGCTATACGAAACCGGATCGTATATCGCGAATTTGAAATATCTTCTTTCTACACAATGTGGGGATAGGTTTTCAAACTTTAACAGATGCTCTTACCACGAATAACGCATGCGTACTTATTAAATCCGCGATGCGATATATCTCTTTTTTAAATATAATTTTATTATAATCAGAGATGCCTGTATTGTAAATACATGTTAAGGTAAGTTAAGAAAATTTTTTCGTAAGACGATATTCGCGCTCCTGTACAAAGGACGTATTAATTTCTAATTAAACACTCTCTTACTTAGTATCACGTTATCCGCATTATTGTAACATTTAGAGACATTTGATAGATTGTTCTATTTTTCATTTTATTCTTGTTTTGTTAAAAAAAAAACATTGCTTTTTTTGCGTAATTTGCGCGCGCATACGTTCAACTCATAGATACTCCTACTTCCATCTTCATGTTATCGACTCACAAGCCAAATATACACACGCGTCTAGTATATATAGATATATACTTATATATATATATATATCCGCATTTTTGCGAAGAAATTATGTACGCTCATATTAATCGCTATTTTTTACGGATTAAGAGATAATTAATATAAATCGAGAGTCTATTCTCGAGCGTCGAATTACGCGATTTGTCATGTGACACGTTTACACAAATCGAAGAAAGATAGTATTCTTCAGTAATATAAACTCGTAAAGACTAACAATTAGACATTTAAGTTGCTTATCGCAATCGCCAAAGCTCGCAGTAGCATCAAAACTAAAACGAAGAGAGAAATGTCTTGTTTCAAGTTGTTGAAAGCAACTTTTTCTTACCGATTGTAGTAATTTTATGAGACAAAGTTTCTGTAAATATATAGCTAGCAACTGAACTCGCTAATTCTTCAATTTTATCATTAATTTGTCAGATAATGATGCACGCAATCATATCATTGCTTGTTTTTATCCTTACTTTGACATCGACACTCCCAAGAGCGAGATTTATTTTGTTCTATTAGTGTATGTTTTTGGCGTACGGACAAATCATATCTTAAGATTGCATATGTATTTGATGAGAATGGAAAAGCAATTTATAAGATATATTAAAAGCAAAATACGCGCGCGCGCGATAAAGGGAAAACGGGTGAATGATAAGGAAGTTAGAATTAACCGCTCGCCAAATAAATTCATGATTTCTCGCGATCAATCATTCGCAGAATCGCATGGCGTATAATATTGAGATTAGAATTAATTAATTATTTAATTTTTTGAATATATATAATTTTTGCGTTTTTCTCCCGACTCTGTTGTCATGCATTTTTTAAAAATTCTTGCAAGAATTCGAAACTTTATGTGAATAATAGTTAATAAATATAAATAACCGATAATATTTTCATGGATATATTTGCATCTTTTAGCGATTCCGTTTTGCATTTCATATCTTGTTATTCAATAGACATGTCTTCCCGCTTCATATGCATTTTGCAATGATTGACAAAAGAGACCAGAGAATAACGATGGTGAGCAAATGGAATAGGACGAAAGTAATTATTTGTAATTCAACGCAAGCATCTGCTTCCATGTAGCAATTTATCGTGCCTTCTGTCGTGGCTGCTTTCGGCGATTCACACGTTTATTTTTCTATTTTTTCGTAAACTGTTATTCCTCTCCCACTCCCGCATCCCACAACGGTAATCTCCCCATCTCACGATGTATTCAAACGAGTTCGTAAACGTCTAAAGTAAAAGTAAAAGTAAGATAAAAGTCTCTCACTATCTCGTACTCGAGTATTACCGCATAACGCACTAAATAAATAAATATATATATATATATATATATATATATATATATATATACATATATATATACATATATATATATATATATACATATATACATATATATATATATAAAACTTATAACTTTGTACTTTTCTTGTAGATATGATTATATGTCACGTCTAATTTAAACAATAAAATTTACGTTATTAAACCGGTTGTATTGAGTTTGTAAGTCTATGCCTCGAGAACCCATCAAAGTTCCATCAGAAGAGATCCGCCGCTAATTTTATTCGGGCCAGTTTTTCAAAAGTTCCGGTAATCGCCCCGATTAGGCCCCCGTAAGAGAGAAATTACGTCGGCGCGCGGAGATCTAAGTATACCAAGGCCGTATATACCGTGGAGCACGACCGATTTTTTATAAATTTCCCATAATAACTGTAATCATGCAATCATCCACCCGCATGTATTACCTATGGCGCCGAATTCGGCGCTCTATTCGGGCCCAGTTTCCGTGAAGTGGAAGTATCGCGAATGAAAAAATCGCCTTCCAGCCCCGAAAGTTTTAATGAGAATCGTTTAATGGAGAACATCGGCAATTTCAACAGCATGTTTTTATCGATTATGGAAAAACCGCCGCTGTAATATATCACGTTTAGCAATCGCGTTAAATGCAGGTCAAAATTCTTCATATATCTACGATCGGACGATTTTCGCGGAATTGAACAAATGAGTTTGCTCTAAAAAATATAATTCGCTTCGTAAGAAAGAAACCCCCATAAAAAATATTTTAAAATATTTATGTGAGAAAAAGATTCAATTTTGTATAAAAGAGATAAAGATAAATTGTGGGGAAAAATTATGGAGTAAAAAATTGCATCATAAAAATAATACATTATTTTACATTAAATCACGCCCCCTCCTCGCTCTCTTAAAAATAAATGTCTCGATTATGAGCCTCAAAGTCAGCAAGAAATAAAGAGGAATGAAAGGCAATCATCGCGACGACCAACTCCCTAGTCTCTAGACTTCTAACTCTGTGCCCCGACAAGCGTCCCCGGGGCGAGGACCCACCCACGAAATTCCTGTGCGTCTGTCGAGGACCATCTGTCGATTCGACGAATTCGTTTGAGTTGGTTTGCGTTACGGGATTTTTCGAAATCCTCACCGCGGGCCAAACGATGAGCTCTAATTACCGTCGATGCGCGATGATCGGTCCCGGGGAACCAAGCACGGACACATTGCCCGAGTCCCTGCGGATAAGTGTGGTTTCTATTGACCTTACCTATACAAAATCGTTGCGTAGTCTTCAGGAATGTCCCCCGAGGTGCGACGATGCCTCCTCGCTAATTTTACGTTCTTATTGTGGTTTATTCGATGATATTTGGCAACTCGCATTCTTCGAATTCCAGATAACTATCCATGGTAATGTTTGCCAGCTAGAAAAAAAGCAAGGTCTAATATATGCCTTGTCAGACATTTTTGCGGCATACATTTACTCCATATCTTTGGAATTTAAATATTGCGTTGATAAAAGATTATTTTTAAGATTAGATTACGCATAATGAAAGTAATATATTTTATTTTCTACTTTTGATAGATTAGAAAAATTAAATAAATTTAGCACATTTAAGTAGAATACAAAGAAGATATTAAAGCACTTTACGTATGTTGAACTATGATTTTCTTAAATTTTTTATACAGACAAAGCGTCACGATCATCAACATGTTAAAGACGTGATGAAAATAATTAAGCAGATATTTTTCCGTGAAGAAATTGTATTTTTTTCGTTTTATCCTCACTAAATCGCCCGATTAAAAGAATTAGCCGCTTAGAGGGATTTGTAGTCCTTCGCATCACGAACAAGTGATTTCGCGCTTATGAGCAAGAAACAAGAGACTTAGGAAGAAGGGACGCGATGATGCATTAGGCTAATCGTGCCGTTAAATAATTCATCACGCACGAAGCATTCAAATTAATAACGTATTACGAGAATCACCTCCAATCGAGAACTCGAGCGCACGAATTGCTTTCTGTACACTATCATTTCCACAGAGGTTCTCATTTCTTCTCATCGTGACAGTATTTTCATCAAGTTATCTAATATTTATCTAACATTTATCTAATTACCTAATCTAATATTTGGTATTATATTGTTTACTATTTATATTTTTCATATATTACTGAAAATTTAAATTAAAGAAAGATAGATAATAGAATAGAATGAATATGAATGTAAAGAAGCATAGAGTGAAAGAACATGATAAAAGCATTAAATTAACGTATAAAATGCAAATAAGATAATTTAGAGACATGCTAACATAAAATAGTAACTCATCAATTAATATTTCAATGCCTTAGAAATTCAAATGCTTTAATCTTTACGTTTTATATAGATAAAAAATAAAAAACGTAAAATATTTAAAAACCAAATACTTATAAAAATAAAACTTTTCATAACGTATAAAGAACTAGACTACTTATGGAGAAAATTATAATATATTTTGTACGATGCTGAAATAATATTTCGAAAATGTAACTATTTTTGAAATGATATATAAGAATAAATAAAGTTATGTATTAAGTTACATATTAAGTTATATATTAATGAATAAAATTATAAATATTTAAACATAATTTTACGCAAAACTTTTTTTCTTCTATATAAACGAAATTTATCATACAACTTTTAATTAGAGCTGGAATTATACTTTTGAGAGAGAGAGAGAGAGACGTTTGCCAATTATATTTAATATTATATATTCATATAATCATAATAGAAACACTGTATAACAATTATGTTTTTAAGATTCCAATTTTTGTTCACACACAATGTTACTAATTACAAGTGTCAATTTCTCTCCTGTCAAAATGCGTGTCTTTAAACTCTATCTTATGTACGTTATCCCGCTCTTATTTATTATTTTTTTATTTATTATTTGTTATATAAAATCTTGGACCAATTCGAAGTAGACATCATTATTTAAAAAATATGTGTTTTATTTGATCAATGATAAAA